GCCACCACAACCGTCGCCAGTCAGCCACAGCCATGGAAAGTCCAATATTGGGATGGGCGGGTTCTCCAGTTTATGAAGATGCAAGTGTATGGCGTGCATATCCAGCCACGCCAGCCCTCACCCAAGCTGGTCAACAGAACGATCGGCAGCCCCGTTTGCCCACTTGGCAACCACCATGATCAAAGCACGCAGCTGGATGGGCCCCGAAGACAGGCACGAGGCATTATGTCCTCCTGATTGGCTCCTCGTCCTGTCATTTCCAATCTTTTCCGGTGCAGCGACAACAATATTGGGTGCGAGGTTTTTCATGTGATATGCGCAGCGGTGGTGTATCCGTATCCATAACAGCCGCCTGCTGCTGCGACTCCATCACGAGAGACATACAGGCAGCACTGAGACACTCGCCAAAGCCGGGCAATGCCTACATACGTAAGAGAAAGGAAAGGTGACGAGGCCCGTGATATGTGATTGTGATGGACCAAGACATCAATCACACTTTCCAAGCATACTCGGGGGATTCGATGCACGCCATATGGAAATGGAAATGTGAAATATGCCATGTTTTCTGCAGGAACAGGTTTCGCGTATGACTTTCCGGCCAGGTTTTTTAATCCATGGCGAGCAGCATTCGTCGATCACTCAATTTTGTTTCTCTCATTTTGCTCATCTGTCCTTCGTCTCCTAAGATGAGCGATTTGCCTGTGCGTTGCATACGAGAACAACGGCGGCCCTGATTTCCCTCCTCCTACTGCTAAAGGAAGGTCTCGCCGAGTTCTGAAATATTGGGTCGGTCTCCCTGTATGTCCGTTTCCCATGCTGGCGAAGGGTTATACTTCGTTTCTCGGCTCCTCGCTTGGCTCCTTTTTTTTTTATTCCAACTCAAGCGAGAAGACGTTCGTCCCGCCCGCCCATCCTTCCATGCTACTCTACTCTATAGTAGGTAGTTTTTCCCTTGCAAGGGAAGGGGGAAGAGGGAAACCAAAACCTGGTTGCGTATAACTTCACAATGTGAAATACTACATGGTAGTGATTGTACGTATATAGCACTGCATTCATACCTACAATCTGAGAAGGTGAGATTGGGCAGGTAGGTTACAATCCCCTTGTGTGTATATGTGTGTATTCGTGTGTATATGTGTGTATTCGTGTGTGTGTGTGTGTGTGTGTGTCTACGTATCCATGCCATGCAATGATGCGGGATGCCGTTGCATTGGGCATGCTACTGCCAACTATGGTAGTTTTAGAGAAGAGAGAAAGTGGAAGATGAGAGGATTTTCCATTGCTAATGGAATAGACAGACAGACAAGTTACATCACGACAATGTCAGGCGACCTTGCTTGCTTTATTTGAGGATTGTATGTACGGAGATAGACGTTAGGTTGTGAGGGGGGATTGTTTACCAACTGTCTGTGAGAGGACGGATGATAATGCGGCCTTGCCCTTCAGCTGTTGCCCCCCCCCCCCCCCCCCCCCCCCAACCTCCCTTCCCCCGTGTGCCTAGCTCTCTGTTCTCTGGCCTCTCTACGCATTGAGATATGTCTGGTCTGTTCGTGGCTGGCTGGCTGGCGAGACCTTCGGCTTTTCCCCAATATTTTGCTAGCCAGCCAGCCAGCTCCCTGCCCGGCCGCCCGCGCCTGCAGAGACAAGGTGACACAGCAGCTTGAGCTTTGAGACCGAGTGGATGTGTGTGAACTTTTTGACACACAACCTACCCACCCACCTACCTACCCACCCACCTACCTACACACTCACTCAACCTTTTGCCCTCCGCCGTTCTTGTGAGAACCTTTTTTCCCGCGCCACCAGCCTACGCTTTCTCCGCGACCGGCCTCCGCCGCCGCCGTGTAAATCTCTGCGTGAGGCTGTGGATAAGTGCTTGTCGTGTGTGTGGGGGGGGGATAGAGGGGGTGGAATGGAGTTGTACGTAGGGAGTAAGTATAGGAGGAGAGAGAGCGCGAAGAAGAAGGTTGCTGGTTGTTCAGAAGTACTCCCCTCCCCCCCTTTTCTTTTCTGTTTTTCCTCGCAAGGAAATCTATCTCATGATCGACTTGGTAAACTGACGTGCATCTCCGGGACGGAACGGGTAGGGGTAGGAGGGAGAGAGCGCGGGCAGCGGCAGACGTCTGTTTTCTGGTTTTGTACTGTTTCCCCCAGTATATATCTATCTCGACATCATGGTGTGTCTAGGATAGTATCGGGTAACGGCGTCTGTTTTGTTTTCTGTGTTACTCTTCTCTCTCGCGCGCGCGTGGCCGCCCGCCCGCTCGCCCGCCCGCTTCGGCTTGAGCACCGGATCGGATTCTTGAGTTACCAGTACACAAACACACACAACCCTTGGGCTTGGTGTGGCGAGGCGCGGGACGGGGATAGGATAGGAGGCCAAACCCCCCCCCCCCCCCCCCGTTTGGTTGATTTGTGTTACCTGCAAAGCAAGCAAGCATCCGATGGTCTGACAACCCAAGCAACTGTACCCCTCCCTCGTCCCTCTTTCCTCTCTCTCTCTCTTTCTCGTGGTAATGAGAATGACATCACGTCACTGGTCAGAAAAGGGTTGCGGAAGCGGGACCGTCTCTTTTTGCTTGTATGGTTGGTTGTCGGGGTCTGACGTTGTGTAACGGTATCACGGCAGCGAAGAGGCAGACGGGACAACGGAGGGGGTAGGAGGGAGGGGTCCTTGACATATTTGGTGCGCGCAGGATATGAGCGAGGTACCTACTTAGAGGTAGTAGGCGGAGAGCAAAAAGTGGTACCTTCAGTATATGTGAGTTTCTACATGCGAAGGGTGTGATTGCGTGTGTATACATACGTATGTCGTCAGAAAGCACTCTCTGACTCTTCTGTATGAGATGGTGAAAATGACGACAGGGACGAAAAAGAGTCGGGACGGGATAGATATGGGAGGGTGTGTGTTTTGAACGTCGTTTGATGATCTTGACGATCTCCCTATCTACACTACTACCTAACTACCTAACTACCTTACATATTCCCGGCACGTAGATTAGGTGATAAGTGAGCAAGCTGATGGTGGTAAGCGGGACGGCAGGAAGGGCTGTTGGCACACGGGGAGGAGAAGAGACGGGCCACAATAATGATGTAACCCTCATCTAGGTGTGCTTGTGTGTATCAAGCAATATTGGCAGAAAAGTCGGTTGTTTGAGGGAGAAGCATTATATCGGGAAGACAAAACGAAATTTCCTGAGGTTGGACTTCTTGAACAGCTGGAGTCTTTTGCTTCTATGGAATAGATGATAGTATGCCTTTCCCCCCCCCCCCCCCAAAACAGGCTCATGGGTTCTTGAGTGTCATGGACTTGTGCCTTCGCTCAATAGTTCAAAGTCATAATGACGCGTGTCAGTCTGTATGTTTTCCTGTTTCGTTTCTTTTCAGTCTACTCTTGTCTGCCCTATTTGTGCCTACATTGCTGAAAGAGACTCGCATGGTCTCTTCGACACATGTGTTTCTTTTTAACTTTCTTTGTGACATTTTGAGCAAGGCGTTTCTTAGTCACTCGAAACTTTCACCTATAGCCATGGCTGCAACCAAAAACCACCATTTAGCGAACTCAGATCGCTGAATACGACGAAAGACAAGCTGCAAAGCTAGAAATGACAGGATCGTATGGACACATAGTAAGAGCGGCGTAAATTAGTTTGCTTTGTTTTCCGCATCGCAATAAGTTTAGGCCCTCCCGAAAAATTGCAAACCAACTAGTCATTCTTCACATCACAGCTGCCTTTGGGGGAATATAGCTTTCTGCTTTCGTTTCGCCTTTATCTTTACGCCAAACCCCCCACCCAGTTATGTTCAGTCACGTCCAACGTGCGATCTGGACAACTCAGATTAGCAAGCAGTTAGAAAAGAAGAAGCAAGCGCGGAGGCTTCCAACTCTCCTCCGTGGCAACAAGAAGTGACAAAGAAAGAGCCAATCAATGCAAGAGGATCATACTATTTGACGCCGTGGCATGAATAATGATACTTGAAGCTGAACGTAGTGCATGGGTGAGGGAGGGTAGACTGAGATATGGTTATCCTGGCACCATAGTGCCTTTGAAGTATTGAGCAAGAGGACGATGTGAGATGATTACAATGACACCCGTGACCTCGCAAGCCATTGTAGAAAAGAAGATGGCTTATATTGAACAAGTATCTCCCTCGTCTTCGAGACCGCTGGACCTAGGAATTCCAAACGAGCCAATCCCTCAAAGTAACAGTACATGTGCAACTATTCGCTGAAAGAGCCACTACGTCGAGTGTGTCCGGATATAATAATACTACAGTGTTGTCCTGGCACGGATCACCCTCTTCGTATCGTTTGCTCAAGATGGAACCGTCCCAAATAAGGAAAACCAACGACACATACATCTTGGGCGTCATAGCCGTAGTTGATCTGGAACCGTCTCCTGATATAATATCTCCATGTAAGAGACTTCTCACTCATATATGTCTTGGCTTAAAACAATATTGCTGACAACAATGCAGCGAGCTCTCGCCATGACAGCCATCACTTCATGCTATGCTAAATCGGACAAGAGTCAAAGAAGAGGATCTCTTTCATTCATAAGTAGTTAAGTGGCTAACATCCATCAAACACGAAGACACTTATATGTCTTTATCAAACGAGGTGATGCACCTAGTGGTTTGGGCGAGTTTCTGCTGGAAGCTCGGATAGGCCTGGCGGAGATTGTTCCACAGGGGCATCTTATTGTGATTCAAACTGCCTTGACAATACCAACTTATTCACGCAAGGACCAAAAAGGAAAGAAAAAGAGTCTAAACAATCTGGTTATACGATCCTATTAGAGTCACTAGGCATGCTATTATCTAGGTACCTACATAATGAGCTCGTAACGTTATTTTGCCAAAGTTGGTTACAAAGTTTCAGTATGATGCCCCTTTTCCCCTAGGTTGGATCCTCCTTTAACTAGCACTTCTGCCTCACAGGCACCCTTGCTTGATATTTACGGTGGTACAAGAAGAAGAAAAGGAGAAAAAAAATCATCTGCGTGCGGGCGGAATCGAACTGTCGTCCTTGGATGTCTGTCGAGTTTTTAGCTCAAGATTCATACTTTCTATGAGACCAATGACCAATGCTCTACCCCTAAGTTACGCAGGCTCTCTCGGATGAGTTGTTGAAACTGCTCGGTCGTCTTTGAGCTTAACTGACCCAAGTTTGCAAAGAAGAATATAAAAATAGCTAAACAAGGAAAGCCCCCCCCAAGAAAAATTGCTTTGCGTCAGCCGCGAATCGAACGCGGGGCCCATCGATGGCAACGATGGATTTTACCACTAAACCACTGACGCTGCTTTATCTTTGTGGATCTTGTTGAGGATGTGGCTCGGTTTATCGTGAGATCACGGTGGATGGGATGTCGTTGTTGCTGCTGGTTGGCCCAGAGAATTGTTGAAAAAACTCCACTTGTCACCATGCCCCTTGCCAACATGCATGCATGGATAATAAATGAGCTTTCTCTCTCCACCCCATCTGCCCCATATGCACCCTCGAAGCAAAACAATAGGGAGTCACTGGGAGAGGGAAATAATAAAAGAGGAGTGGCCATCGAGGCGGCGAACCTCATTGGGACAACTCGCAAAAAAGATTTAAAAATTGTTTTCACAAGCTTTTTTTTTTTTAAAACAATAGCAATAAGCACCATCAGTGTGAATAGTGGCAAGAGTAAACATTGACCCACCTAGGTTTAGAACCTGGAACCTCCTGATGAACCGAACAGATCGTTGTGGACCTGAAAGTTGAGATGAGAGTGGGGATCTCTAACTACAGCTACCTAGATGCTTATATAAACCCCGTACCCGGATATAGTTGAGTGGTGAGGTTATTCGGCAGAGATTGCGAGAGGTTGGTTTTGTTGGCCAGCTGTTAGTGTATGGGCGCTGTCCACCTTGTTTGGCAAAGTTCAAAAGTACTGAGCTGGCGGGATTCTCTTTTGGTTCTTGTTGGGCATTCTTGTTAACATATACTCTCTAACAGAAGTCAGGATGTCAGACCAGCTCTTGGGAGAGGTGTACATTTCTCCCGAGATATTACTCTGCAGTCGGGCTTTGGAATGTTGATGAAATGAAACCTCGTTATTGAGTGGCGTCGATGTTGAAGCAAGTTTCTCGGGTGCTGTGAACTAACCGACTGTTGGATCTTAATGAACCGATGGTACGTTAGAAGATTCTTTTTAACGTTGTGATATAGGATGATGATGTAATGATGCCATAATGTTGTCCCCAAGGCAAAATCGACTAGGTAGCGGAGAAGAAAAGTGCTGCCAGAATGTCAATCAAAGGGGGTTCTCCCCAAGTTCCAAGGTACCTAGTAGATATATAATATCCCTCCCAGTAATTTCTTCCTCGCAATACACAGTAATCTTAAACAAGTCAATACGAACATGTCACAGTATAAATACATCACAACGACGTTCTCATGAAGTCCTTCAAAGAGCCCAAATTATCTGGAAAAATAAAAACCCAACCTCATGCTTGTCCTCTCTATCCAACTTGAGTTGCGCGAAAAGGAACAAACAGCAGGCAGTTGAATTGAAGGACGTGAAAAAAAGCACTGCGAGCAGGCCAGGTACGTAATAGGTACTCGAATGAAATATCCAGAATGGCTATGAATACTGGCTTAACTCAACAATAGAGAGCATATTTTTTAAAAAAACAAAAATATGAGCATTCAACCAAAGTGCCTGCCTACCACCTACCTACCTACCTACTAATTATTCCCGCCTCCGAGCGAGCTATGGGGATGGAGAACTAGATCACAAGAGGAGGACATACGAATTATCACTTCCGTACACAGGTCTCAGAGAACATCAACATTCCCCAATATTACGCATAGGAAAAAGACCGGTTATGGACAAACATCGCGTCTCCAAGACAAACAGAAGTACGAAAAAGATTCGAGTGCACATCATCCATGGCCATTATTTCAGGAAGAAATACAGGTTTCCATTATCCTTCATTTTTTCCAACCACTCACCACAACCAGGAACACACCGGTCTATCATTACTGTATGATAACGTCCCTCATGCTATATATCCGTCTACACACCGACCGTACGAACAGGTAAACAAAAGGTCACGAACGGATGCAGATAGATACATAAATAGGCATTTAGGTAAGAAGGGAGGGGGGTGGGGGGCGCATATCGCTCCCCCCTTTGTATACAATCTAGTGGTGGTTAAGGTATAAGCAAACTCAGGTAGTAGGTATATCCGCCTCATTTCCGCCCTTACAACAACCGAAAAAAGGAAATAAACATGTCATATGCCACCTCAGGGGTAAAAAATCCCTTTCTGCCTTTTTGGGGGGTCGAAAACAAACGCTCGCCTGCCAAAAGCTCGCTTCGTGTTGAAAAAGAAAAAAAAAAGACACAAAAACAAGCATAATCGGGATCAGTATACGCTCCCTTCTATGCTCTTATCCTCCATTTCCGCTCTGCGGAGAAGTGCGCCATCTGCCTCGTCTGTCAAGGTCCTGCCCAGCTCGTTACCTTCATCATCGTCTTGTTCTTGATCCGTCCCTCCGCTGTTTTGACCCGCATCTTCGTGTTCGCCATCCGCCTCATGCTCGCCATCCGCCTCATGCTCGCCATCCGCCTCATGCTCGCCGTCACTACTGTGGGGGTGGTCACCGAGACGGTTGGCGCGTATCCCGCGGCCCATGCGACTCCTGTCCCGGTCTGCCCGGCTGGCGTAAACATGGTGATGGTGGAGAGGGACAAGGCCGCCGAGCCCGTTTCCGTTCGGGGGCCCTCTTCTCCTGTGCTCGTCATCCTCGGACGAATCGGCATCGCTGGCGACAACGCTGTTGTGCCCGCTGTAGGTGCCGCCAAAGTCGCGCCCAACGTGCAGTTGTATCCGCTCCAGAGGCCGGGGCGGGAGGGCCGGGCTCTTGAACTGGCTCCGCAGGCGGTCCTCGACCGAGATAAAAGATGGGGTCCCGTCCGGGCTCGATACCACATCCTCCCGCGCCTTGGTCACATCGATCTGCGGGCCTGCCGCTTCCGATTCGGGGGATAGAATTTCGTCGTCCTTGTCGCTGTTAGTAGTGATCGATTGGAAGCGTTTGGCAGCCGGCCGGCGGCTGACGATGGTGTGACTGTTGGCGGTACCGTTGAAAGAAGGGTTGGCGACGCCCTGGGTTGTTGAGGAAGCAGCAGATTCATCGCTAGCGCCGTTGCCATTGGCCTCAATGTTGTCGTCCGCACCACCTGAGCTGCGGTTAGTGCTCACGCTACTACCACCGTCGTCGCTCTCGGTAGCGTCGGCGGCGGCTGGTTGCTTAGAGATGATGCTGTCGCTCTTCACCAGGTCAGCCAGGGTCTGGCGGATCTTGAAGCTCTTGTCGTGGTCACAGCCATTGGGGCATCCTCCCCATCTACGGCGCGTCTCAATGGGCGGAGAGCCAACGGCAAAAGAAGGACTGGCGGTGGCGGAGAGGGCGCGAGCGAGCGTGGAGCTGTCCTTACTATTTCCGTTCTCCCTTGGCGTAACTCCCTCCTCGCCGCCCTTGCCCTCCTTGTCTAGCAGCGCCCGCTGCCGCTTGAGCTCCGACCATGTTCGCAGCTCGTTCTCGAGTATGTACTTGCCGCTGTCCTCGTTCTTGCGCATGATCAGGAACTCGCAGTGGTTGACGTTGCGAAGGTCTTCGAAATACTCGACGCTGAAGTGGTACCACTTCATCAGGAAGACGCGGGACATGAGACCGTGTGTGACTGTTCCCGGGGGTTGGGTTAGTTAGCTGGTGATACATGGTAGCAGTCTTACAGGTGCGCACCTAGCACGCAGACGCTGGCAAAGTCGTCCTCGCCAAATTGGCGCCACAGGCTTTCGTTGAAGCCGCTCACGCGGTCATAGGCGTCGGCGGCGCTCTCGCCGTTGGGGATGCGGTAGAAGAAGTGGCCGTAGTCGGCGCGCTCTTGCCACATGCGCTCCATCTCGGCGCTGCAGGGCTGGAAGTTACCAAAGTCCTGCTCGCGCAGCCGCGGCTCCTCGTAGACCTTGATGTTGTTACGCTTGAAGGGGCTGGGCTCGGGCTCGTCACTGGTCAGGGTGGCCAGGATGCCTTCAGTGGTTTCGCGAGTGCGGCGGTAGGGGCTGGTGAAGAAGTGCAGCGTGTCGTCGGCGCGCAGCATCTCGCGTAAGCGCCGCCCTGCCTCGTAAGCCTGCTGCCACCCATCCTGGGTCAGCTTGACGCGGTGGTCGGGAATGGTCTGGTGGATGTCGCGGTTTTCTGTGAGGAGGACGACAAAAGTTAGCTCGACCGTAACGGATTGTGGTGCTTCTTTCCAACATAACATACTATTTCCCTCCGATTGGGCATGTCTGATCAGGATAATGAGTCTTGGTTTCCCCATGATTGCAGGTTGGGCTGGGCTGCGAGTCACAGCCGTGGTGTATGTGGTCGTGTGCTCCAGCGATGATGTATGTTCAAGTAGAGGCGTTGGTGGGGAAAGGCACAGGAGGTAAGTATAACCTGTAGCTCGCAACAAGCTGAAAACCGAAGGAGGGGTGGCGGGGGAGGGGGGGGTTAATCAAGACCTATCCCGTAACAAAAATGACGGCAGATATCAAGCAAGCGGGCAAGTAGTAGCCTTTAAATAAAAACTGGAAAAAGGGGAAAGATTGTCGGGCATAAGGAGCCACCTCTCTCTCCCTCAAAGTTGGGGGCGAAAGCAAAGCAGAGGGGCAATATATATGACCTGTCTTGACTTGTTATTCAGGAGAGAACAAAACTGGTCACTGTGCACAGTACGGATTAGATATTACAAATGCGGGCGTCAAGAAGCGACTGGCAGGCCTAGACTTGACCCAAAAAGCCAACCCAATCGAATTGGGCAGGGAGCGTGCCGTGCGAGCCCCCACCAGCCAGCTCTCTCTTCCCTCTTGGCTTCGCGTGGCTCGAAGTTGCTTTCCTGGGCTGGCTGCTGCGCCTGACAAGAACAGACAGCATGTGTTGACTCGACTCGTCGACTGATAATGTGCCGCCGTCTGGTTTGCTGTGTTGTGCAGCCTTGGGCAGTCATTGTCTGTCAATCTGCAAGCCATCAAAAGGAGGGGCACTGCTGCAGCTGATTGGAGAAGGTTGGACTCTAGGCTCGCGTG